TCCATCAGGGAGGACCATGGGTAAGAAAAAGGCATGAAATGAGTCACACACTCACCGTAAAAAGATAACGTATCTGCAGGTGTGTTTTAGTTTCACACAAACAAAATGATAACTTTGTGCAACTAATCTGAAGCAACAAAGGTGTGAACATGGAGCAAAAGTTGTAACTGACTTCCAAGGAGGCAGACTTCATTAAATCTTTTAAATGTCTTTGATTAAAAGAATTTCTGATGGTCTTTTCCTTGAACTTATTCACACATGAAAGTCTGGCTCCATGAAAGCTAGTTTTAATAAAGTGTCACAAAAGCGGTGCGGCGCATTGCCCTGGTTAAGCTCAGCTGTGGCAAGTAGGAGGAAACATTAAGTGTCCTAGTAGAGGTAAACTGCAAGAAAAAAACTGCTTCACGTTACAGTTCTGGTTAGGATTATAACAATCCTGTAGTTGTGTTTGAAACGTCATTTTATACACTAGAAAGGTCACTTTGCCCCTCGCCGCTGCCACTTAGAAGACTTGCAGCTTCTAAGACTTTTTTAAGTCCTAGCAGCGCAGGAAGTGTTTTAACTTTAAGGTTTGGTACAGCAGGTGATTTTTTTACATTTATAGTTTGTCGATATCAGAAGTTCCTGTAAACGCTGATGGCCACCGACACGAGGGTGCCACATTCAGCATCCTCAACAGGAGTTTAAAGGAGGGGGGAAGAAAATCTATCCAAGGAATAACGTCTGAGAGACAAGCCAAAAATACCACCGTGGTGAGAGCTGATGAAGAGCTGGAGACAAGAACCAGAGCACAGATCTCTACTTTAACACATCCCACGGGGGTTGAACAGCCATGAAAATGAGTGAATACGTTGCCGAACATGGAAAATTTCAACCTAAATAATAAAAAAACACCACAGTTGACGTTTTTGTGGTTGTGATTTATTTTTTCTGAGCAGCATTTCATGCAGGAAAGAAGCGGGGAGAATGATTAACTACGCGTCTGTAGGAGATTCCTTTTAAGCCCGCTGAACCATTCATCTTGGCCTCGCTCTGAAACTCTGTGATTCATTTCCATCTTCATCTACAACGGCCCTCATGCATCTCAGACCTGCCATTGCACTTCATCCTGGTCGTTTTTTTTTTCTTTTTCTTTGGGAGGGGTCTTTGTTTAGTTGTTTTAATGTGAGGGCTTGACCCGGACCTGTTCTTGCCTCCGCACACGCACACACGCACACACACACACACACGCACACACACACACACACACACACACACACCTCCTGGGAATTCCACAGGTCTGCAGTAATGTTAGGAGGCTACTTCTCAGCAAACTGATCAGGAATGTACCAACCAGGAATGGGGGGTGGGGGTGGGGTGTTCCATCAACCTCACAGGGAAAACACAGCACTTCATTGTTCTCCTACCTTTGCATTCCACGATTCACCTCTCTCTATAAGAAAAACACCCCTCCTCTAAACCGACCTCTCGCTTCTGCGTCATTCCTTCCTACCTGTCTCTCCCTCACCGGTCGCCTCACCTGGCAGCTAAAAATGATGCACTGACAGAAACCTTCATCCCTTCTTTTTTTTCCCCAGCCTGTTGCCAACGGGAGGGAAAACGCAGTGGGGAGGCTCATGTATTATAAGTTTGTGAATTTATAGCTGTGGTCTGATGAGTGCGCCACAATCTCTGATCAAAGGTGTTCCTTTGAAAATGTTTCAAGTTGTGCAAGCGTGTGGGTGCAAACAAAAGAGGTGAAGAAGGAATATCATTCAGGGGCTGAAGGGAGTCCTCAGGTGTTTGGTCATGGAGCAGATCTCAACAAGCCTCCACATGCCGTGTTCCATGTTCGTATGAAAACACGCATCCCAAAGCCGAGGTTCACTACGTTTGTGAAAACAAAGGGGGGAGAAGCAAGAGACGGACGAGGATGCATGCAGGAGGGGGGACATGCCTGATCACAGAGGAGACACGGTGGGGGGACGTCTGTTCTCTGTGATGCATTATATGAACAAAGTCAGTGAGGATCAGCAGCTTCATCCTTACCTCCTCCCTCTTCCTCCCATCTGCCTTGGAACTGCCAATCAATCACCTACAGTAGCTGCTTTGATTCTTAGATCTGTCGCTCTTACAAGCCCTTCCCATCACAATAAAAACCTTTTTCTTTAAAGTGATTTAACACACAGCTACAAAGTCAAAGGCCTGCATTATGGCTGGATTACAGAGCAAACTCACACCAAGATGAGAGTAAACGATGATAATGACAACAGGAAATCACCTGCAAAGTGCTGTAAGTTATGACCGAGGACACGAGTTTTAAAAGAATGTTCATTAAACAGCATTAGAGGTGGGCCGTGGACAAAATCAAAACACCATCAATGAAATGTAATGACATTTTGTGTTACTAAATGTTAGGTTTAGGTATCGTTTGAATTGGATTCTGATTCTGATTCCTTGCTCCAGTAACTCTGGATTCCAATTCTTTCAAGAGGCAGGGTCCAAAAATACTTAACATGTTTGAAATGAGCCAGCTATCCACAGGTCTCACTTAATGAAATTGTCTGAACTTCTCCATGGACTTCAATCAGGGTATCTGCAGGTTTAAGGGAGCCAAATGTAAGACTTTTAAGACATTTTTTAAGGCCACTTTTACCAAATTTAGGCAATTTTTTAAAATTAAATTTAAGCTATAATTTCCAGCTATTGCCTGGACCCTGTGCTAACCACGCCGCGAACGTGGGATTAGCAATCCAGTTACAATTAAACTTGCCCTTCCTCATGGCGCAAGCTCCCACTAGCTTAACCAGCTCTAAACATAGCCCCCTTTCACAACCAGCTGAATGTGCACGGTAGGGCTGGGCGATATGGCCTCAAATCTATATTGCGATATAATTTGAAGCATGTGCGGTGACGATATATATTGCGATACATTTTTTTCCTCTGTTTATATATGTCAAAATGACATGCTTTTAAAAATCCTCATGTGGCAAATATATGCCACTTGAGTAGGGATGGGTACTTTTGACATTTGAATCGATCCGGTACTAATTCCCGGTACCTAGGAATCGATACCGGTACTTAACGGTACCAATTTTCGATACTTTTGAGTGTTTATTATTTGAATTCTCTTTAATAATTAAATATATATTTTTCTCAATTTATAACCATATTTGATAAATATCATGATAAATAACATACAACTGTTTGTATTTTAACATCGTCCTTGTAGTTTTATAAGCTGATAATTAAACTGAAGCAAACATCTTTACTGTGAACTAAATTTACTGTGTATCTTCATTCCTTTTGCCATCCTTTTTCATTTGATTTTTCCTACTGGGAAGTTAGAATTTCCGAGGAGAAAGCGAACGCACCATTAGCTGATAACTGTGGCAATGGAAGCTAACATATCAAGCTAACGTTATCTTAAACATTTTATTTACCTACCAGAGCAGATTAAGATGAGGATGTCTCACTTAGATCGTTGTCGCTGGTTTCATCATCACCCAGTTACCCATCACATTTAGTGAAGTGGACCCAAGCTTTAGCGTGCGTTCTTTCTACCATGCTGCTTTGTTTACAAATGGCTCGCAGCGACCGACGACATATCGCTCTTGCGCATGCGCAGCTGTCTAGGCAAGTTCTCGTTATGAAGGACAGGTACTGAAACGAGGCACTGTTTGAAATGACGTGAATCGGTGCTCAGTCGGTACTGTGGAATTCGGTCTGTGCCTTAAAAAGTACCGAATTCGGTACCCATCCCTACACTTGAGGCATATAGGCCTCCTCCTCCGCCCACTCCATGCTTGCAGTCATTGCCATTCTGTTGCCCCAATGTCAGCAGGGTGCACATCTTAGTGACGTCATGCGTTATTGTGATATCGCGGTATTGCGATATAGCCAAAAACTCTATCAATACCCAATTTTATATCGTTTCTACCTTACATCGTTTATATTGTCCACCCCTAGTGTACGGTTCCGCTTATGCCGATATCATACACAATCAATGCTGAACACTAAGTAGAAATTCAAGAAATTTTTATAGAAGTAAAAGAATCTTGTTTATTGGGTCTTTGATAATTTAAGACCTTTGAAAACTGGATTTAAGGATTGTTTGTCATTTTTGAGGATTTTTAAGGCCTTAAATTTGGAAAAGCAAATTTAAGACTTTTTAACTGTTCAATATGAAACGCAGCAACGCAAATACTTCCAGATTTTTCTTTGTCGGTATTCAGCAGCCTGAGCATCAAAACTAGGAACTGGAGTTTAAAAACTTGAACAAATCTGGGAAAATCAGAAAATTATTCCCAGTTCCAACTGATCCTTGATGCCCAACCCCTCTAAATGTAGGTTTATATGAAAAGTTCCTGAACTTTGATTCATAAATAATAAACAATAACTAACCCAAATGGAACAGCAGTAAACTTTTAAGGCTCATTGTAGGTTTTTTGTTTGTTTGAAGAAAAACTTCTCTATTTTTAAAAAACCTTTTAAACATATATTTAACAAAGTCTACGGGGGGGAAAGGATTTCAGGGAAAAGTTTGAAAAGTTTCTCATTTTTATTGCAGCTTAATTTTTTTTCTTTCAGGTTATTTAGTCACTTAAATATGTATTTTTGCCGACGTTTAGAATGAATGAGTAGATTGTGTGTTTTCCTTTTTCTTTTACAAACGTCAGTGTGCTCAGTAGACTCAGTAGCACAGAAGAATGGAAGAGTGTTTTAACAAACTTCCAAAGACCTGCGATAATTACAGCTGATAGTCAAATGCATGTTTCCTACGTTTATCCGTTTGAGGTCAGGGATTGTGCCGAGGCATGCTCCAGAAAGGCTCGGCATTCTTCCCATTGCAGAGGAATCGTGTTAGCCAAGGGCAGAATTCCTCTCAACAATGATAACAGCACTTATGATAAATATTTGTTGTACAGGCCTGTTTTATGACCTAAGGTAATTTAAACAACATAAATTGTGTTTGATACTGGGTCTTCAACACCTTCGTTGGAAAACAAGGATGTTCTTACCTCGACATGAGTCTTCAGCCTCTTCAAAGCCAGGTTTGCATTGGCACTGTCCAACCGGTACCACCCACTCCCCATCCAAAGTACAGTAGATGCGAGGTTGCTCCTCACTCTCGGCATTCTCCACACACGTCCCGCTCACCTCCCTGAGCACCTGCTTCTCGCCACCTCTGGCTACGGTCTCAGGAAACACAGCCAGGCTTTTTACTGTGGCGGGGCATGTTTTGTAGAACACTCGAACAGAGAAAATAGCAACGCAAGCGCCGATGTCTTGAAAAGCCAAGTAGAAACCTTTTCGAGACAAGTTCTCCACGTATCGTGTCTCGGTGTTGAGGTGCATCTCGTTTCTCTTGGTGATCTCATCTGGAGCTATGGTGGCCACCTTCCTGAACTGGCCCTTGCGGAAGGTGGTGCCTACGTCCGCGTCCGACTCGGACGTGAAAAGGTTGAAGGTCTCTTTGCACGTCAGTGTTCCTTCGCCGAATGAGTTGCAGTCGCGTACGATGAACTTAAGTTCCACGAAAACCCGCGACGCCGAAGGATGGCGTTGGATGAAGGTGGTGCGCAGCCAGTTGTCCTGCTCGCGCTCCTCCACGTTGCAGACCTGGTAGGTGTAAAACTGAGAGCCGTTCAGGGTTCTCTGGTGGACCTCCCACTGAAACCAGACCACACAAACCAAAACGGTTAGAGGCAGAAAAAACTAGAGAGCTTCTAACTGTCCAGGCTGAACCAACACTGAAAGGATAACTAAATAAAGGAGCGACCATTTACCCTTAAGGGTTCAGCCACTGTAATCTGAACTGGGAAACAAAAACAGAGGCTCTATACGTCGTTAAATATACCATCATGGTAATTACACATCTTTCTACTTACAGAACTCCACTTTTTGGGCCGCTACGGACTCACAACACAACAAACTCCAATGATTAGAACTGACAGTGGATTTGCAAAGACTTAGAATCAGTTTTTCTGTGCTGACTGGCGCCTTTCCTTAGCAGCGTTTCTTTTTGCATATGGTGCTTCAACAAATATGGTTTTAAAAAGTGACAACAACCTCTGACTTTGGCTCAGGAGGAACAACTGGCCCATGCGGAGACATAAGCTGTGGTTTGCTTTTGTATGTAGCCACTGTGAGATTAATTAAAGGAATGTGCTTTGCTGGCGAAGTGCGTGGCTCTGCATTTAAACTCAGGGAGCAACAGCAGAACGCAGCTCTATTAAACAGCTGGTGGACTTTTTTTTATAACACAAAGCAAATAAATAAAACAAATTGAATCAATTCAAACCCGTAGACCATGAAAAAGTGACACTAAAGTATCAGAGGGATGATTTAAGCAGTGAGACATCTTTGAGAAAGTTGAGTGAACCACTGCAGAACATGCCTGCACATGTCTTTGAGTCATCAGCACATGAAATGAGGCTATTTACAGTGAATCTGCATGGGCCTGACTGATTAAGTAGCCTGTAACCACACGATGGAGGGAGGCATATATGTCTTTAGTGTACTGGCAACCAGACAACCGCAGCGTTTAGGATGCATCGCTAACATGTGGGCATTTTCCCTTGGTGTAAGGAAAAGGTAGCCCTGACTGACTCCATCTGAAGCCCCTCCTCTCAAAGAAAGAGCTTCCACATGCTGCAAACTTTAAAAGTTAATTGCTCCTCTAACATACAATTCTGGAGCTGAAGCCTCGAAACCACAAGAAGCCACAAGTATTCCCAGTTCAGAGCAAGCAGCTATTCTATATGTGCTCTGCTGCAGCCCAGACATGCTCTCAAGGCAAGACTCCTCGTGTGATACTTTGATTCCCTCTTATATCCTCACTCAAGCAGGCTTTACATGTCAGATTTTATAAAGAACATACATGTGCTGACACTCGGGGCCTGCCCAGAGGAGAATCACTCAACTGAAAAGGCTAACATGCGGCACAGGACAGACGAGCAGAGCGCTTTCCTGTAACTTTTTCTCCACAGTGGCTGTTCCCAAGGTTAATTCCTACCTGAAGCGTGGGAGCTGAAGGAGAAGGCAAAGTCATACTCACCCCAACTTGGCTTTTTTGAGAGCCTTCCCTTTCAACATTTGGAGGCCATGTCAACCAGCCCAGCTCTCTTCCTGCTGCCCTCATATCCAAAAGCACCTCTGTGAAGATATGAAGTGAATAAATATTAAGTTTAAGTTTATCACACACAAAAAAGCTAAATCTGACTGAAACTGAATTAAATCACCTTTTTTATTTCTGAAAAATGAAATAATCTGCTCCTGAACCAAAACTTGAGTGTCATTGAAAACGTTCTTTCTTTCTTTTTTATAACAAACTGTCAGATTAGCTTCATTGATTATTTTTAACTATTAAACGAAACTGGAAAACATTTCACGTCTGATCAGAAACGGAAGATTTTCACCTGCTGGTGAGTTTAAATGTTTTGAGGAGAGAAATCACCGCTTATAAATGAAAAGATACAACTAAGCATAAAGAGCTTCAGTAAAATGTTGCATTTGAAGGGAAAACTGTTAAAGATGTTTCCTGGGTCACTTCAAGAAGTGTCCCCGCATGGTTCGCGTGTTCCGCTCCAACAGAAACATTTCACGAGCGCAGCTTTCGTGAAGTTGAAAAAAGAACAAACGCTCACCTTCTTTGGCTTCTAGGGTAATTAATATTCCGTTAATGAGCACATAGGAAAATAACAAATGTCTGATTCCACCAGAGACTTCCATTTGGGAACTTTTCTTTCCTCCCTTGACGCTCCTGACTTCAGCTGGACTCCGGGAGGTGCGCGCTGCGCTCTGCAGCTCATTCACAAGCGAAGCGGCTCACTGCGCGTCACCGACTCCGCCCGCTGGAATGTGCGCGCGTCTACGTGTGTGCGTGTGCGCAGGCATGTTGGGAAATGGATGCAGAAAGTTAAACGCAAGCGTTCAAATTATTTTGAGGAAAAAAAAAGAACTTTAAATTTTTTTTACTGTAGTTTAGTTTTGTTTGTTGTTGTTGTTACACATTTAAACATTTTGTTCTTGTGTTTTTTTTATTCTTTAGCACTTTCTAAATAAAAGGTAAACAATCCACAAACACTATTTATTTATAAACTAAGAGCACCTGAGAGTGAGACATAAGTTTTTTTTTTCAAATATTCCCCATGGATGCGCTCACTTCCACCTGTTTTTGATCATTTTATTCATGTTTTCATAGAACAGATAAAAAAAATCAATAAAATAAAAAGGCCAGTAACATGAAAAATAATGAAAAGCATCACTGCACATGACTGAGGAGTATTGAATGTGAAAGTGGCACTGTTCTTAATTCATGCATCAGAGGGTTAAGTTGCTGTGTGTGCGCGCGTGCACGCGCGTGCGTGCGTGCGTGTGTGTGTGTGTGTGTGTGTGTGTGTGTGTGTGTGTTTATTTTCTCACAGAAGAAGTACCCAACACCAGCAGACTCAGTTCTCCAATCCAGCAGCCTGAAGAGACACCATCAGCTTCAACAGATGTATGAGCTGCTGGCCCCATGGATCCTGCTGACTGGCCACAGCAGTTTAACAAATTGGGAAGTAGAACTTTCTTTATGATGACACTGATGTTTGAGTTTTCCTTTTGATTGCACAGTTTAATGCTGCTTTTGATCTTGCCCATCCCCCCCAACCCCCATGACATTTGCACAACATTTTGAGTTGTTGGTTATTGTAATATTCTCAGGTTACTTATCTTTCAAGCTTACATTTATTCTTCAGGCTGTTGACTTTAAAGAGTTGCTGTGTGAATATTTAAAATAAAAAATTAGTAACTAAGGAATAACTGTGGAGTTGCTTTTTCCAATGTGTGGTGGGTGGGTGGACTTGGGTTTGGGTGAGAGGCGTGCGGGCACGGGGGTGGGGGTGGGGGGGGGGGGCAAATGGGCAGTCTCGCCTTGGGCACCAAATTACCTAGAGCCGGCCCTGAACTATTTAAACATATTTTAGGTATGAACAAGAAAAACTAATGTTTAGTTAATTAAATGCAGAAATAATATAACTGAAGACAAAATGAGCTCAAGCATATTTTGAGGACATATTGGCTCTATACAGCAAGAGGGCAGTTGACCCCTTTCCCCCATGCTTTCCCCCTGTGGGTCCGCCTCTGCTTACTCCATACAGGTGTGAGCGCCAGTGGTGAAGTTCTGGTATATTCTGAGTCCGACAAGAAAAAGCTGCAATAGATGGAGGACCTTTACACCAGCGAATGATCTCGGTGAAGATTGTCTTCACCCTCTTTCTTTCAGGCAGAAGATGGAGCCGCATCCGAGCTTGGGAAGCAGCTCCTTTCTTGAGGCTCATAAACTCCACCTCTAAAGCTGGTCTGTGCTCTTTCCCCTCTAAAAGATGTTTCAGGTGATTTGGGATGTTTTGGGGTTATTTATGGTCTTCGGCTGACCTGATTTTGTCTCCCATTACTCCAACATGTAACAAAAACGTTAACACGTCAATGTCAATTCCATTATTTTTAATTGGAGTCTCCATATTGAGCTCAGTCTCCTTGTTTTATTTATTTTCTTGTCTGCTGCCCACGTTAAGATAAACTTAAACTTCGGATTCCACAAAGTTTGTGGACTTTATCCTCAAATGTCCCGTTTTCCTGAAACCCCATAAAATTTAGGAAAGTAAGACTTATCTGATGAGTCAATAATTTCAGAGTTGTAAAACGCTCCTTTGCTCTCACATGAGACTCATCAGGCAAACTGAAAAGGGTCAAGAGCAGATTTCACCTGTAGCTCAAGATGGGTCACTTAGAACCACCAGTCTCTCCAGAACCTAGGTGGCACATGGTTTCATTACAATAATAGCTTACTGCCATTTACCTGTAATCTTCTTCTTCTTCTTCTTCCTTTTCTCTAAGTGTATGTGCTGCTGTAATGAGTGAATTTCCCCACTGTAGGATTAATAAAGTCTATTCTATTCTATTCTATCAGTGCCAAACAAAATATTTTCTCAATCTACAGCTAATTTGGTAAAAATGTAATTAAAGATTTGTAAAATCATCGCATGGTGGAGTAGTTGGTTAGCACTGCTGCAGGTTGCAGGTTTAAATCGTGGTTGCAGTCTTGCTGCTTGGAGTTTGCACATTCTCCCTGTCAGGGACCGAGCAGTAAAACTCCAGGACAATGGTATAAAAAGAATATCTTCTCCCTTTATTTCATATATAATGAACCAAAATCAAAACAAAACCGGGCCCAAAGGTAAAAATGGCCACAAAAATAACCTTAGCTAAAAGTAACAAGCACGACTCTCTCAAGCTGAGACACACGGGGGAATTTATACACACCGGCTAGCCTACAGACAACGAGGAGGGGAGAGACAGGGGAAACACTAAGACAAACAGTAAATAAACCTAGGAAACTAAGTCAACAAAGTATAACTACCACAAAAAGTTTAACTAATACATCCTAACAAAATCTGGTCAACTCTATTAGAGCTTCAGAACGTCTGGTTTCTGGTTTCTTCATTATCAAGTCCCCTGCTTCCAGGAGCCAGATGGAATGTTCCACTTCCTGCCTGGAGTTACACTGGGAGTGTCCCCTCTCTCTGCCAGTTCATCCAATCTCAGGAATACAAATGAAAATAGTTAATGATCAAATAAACTATGTATAAGATAAATTACTAAATGTGTGCACCCATTAGTAAACATCTTACAATATTGCAACAAAATGAAATAATAAACCAGCATGTGGAAAAAAATATTTAAATAATACTAACACTGAGAAATGGCTGGAGGAACCTCCACACTCCCCATGGCCCAAAACATGCAATAAAAATGTCCGTGAAATGACCAAACACAAACATCTGCTGCTTTAGAGTTACGCGAAGAATAAATGAAGACTGCAAATAATAAACACCATTTGGCCGAGCGAGCCACAAATCTGGAATAATTTGCGGAATACAATAAAATACTTAATGAATTGTAGAGTTTTTTTATTTTAGACACAACAAAGACACGAACAAAAAGGAGGTCTCTGTGTACAAAACATACAGACCCAGGTTCCTGTGGAGTTTGCAGTTGAATGGAGAGGGGGTGGTCCAAAGAACCCCGGTAAGAGGTGTGGGGGCCGAGTGTGAGATGACTCGATGACTGAGAAGGTGATGAAATCAGTGGAATGTGGGGGTGAACCAACAGAGGGTCCTGGTTGAACCTGTTAAGAGCAGCTTGGTTGACACGCTTCAATTTCCTACAAACAAACACAGCTTGACTTCACTCAGAAGAATTGTTCATATAGAGGTCTTTGTAATCGACGGCAGTTTTGCACGCTTAGAAACTTCTTGCAGTCTCCTCAAATGCAAATTTGACCAAGCCAAGTGAACCACAGAAGCAATAAATATACAAGTAAACACGATTTATCCAAGTCTGGCCACCCAACATTAAGATTTGTGCTAATATTTAACAATCAGGTCTTTATTTTCAACAACCGCTTGAGGCCTATTTTAGCGCACTGCCCGTTTACAAAGCAGCCTCCACAGCAGAGTCGTTAGCATGAAGATGCTGATTTGGAATATTTTGCCAGATTCAATGAACCCGTGGAGAGAAAAGGGGCAGAAGCTGCTTTACATGATGCACCTTTGTTCTGAGCATCCAACACATGCAGAAGTAAAATCGCAGTGACAAGTGGAGAGAGATGTATTATTATGAGAATAATAGCATCTCTGAATACCTAAAATCCAAACAGAACAGCTGGCCTACTAATGGCTGGTCATAATTCATGAGAAATATCCCAAAAATGTAGCACCCCAGCATCCCTGTACTGTGGTCAGGTTCGGAACAAAAAAGATTTAATCTGCATTTTATTCGATCTCAGGAGGGTCTGTGGGAGTGAAAGTGGGGGAGTTTAGAGTGAATCTCGAATGTAGGAAAAGCCTTTTACCCAGCAACAGCCGCAATGTGGAATTTACCAAACTTTCCCTGACTTGCTCTCCTCTGTTACACAATATTACTGAAGCAAAACTGCTGAGTAACAGCAGGAATGATAAGGAGATGTTGTGTTTCATATCCTGCCTCCCATTCCTGTCCTCCCCATCAGTTTAGGAAGATTGTACCTGCTCCCGAACAATTTATTCCCAGTTGTGTTTACCTTTGAGCCGCAGTCTGGTCCTCACAATAGGTCATTACAATACAGTGTGTAACTGATTGGACATGCGCTATTCTCAGTTAAACACACACACATTGTTGTTCAAACACCTGTGATGCTGATTGTGCGAGAAAAGGAGTGGGTTTCTACTGGTCAGTGCAGCGTCCTAGGCATCCACCACCCCCTCATCCTCCCATTTGTGCCTTCTGGGAGCTAAAGTTTCACAAAGAAGGCGAGGGGAGGGGGGGCTCCACCAAAGCGGCACCAGAGTTAATTCTGCACCAGTGCCTGCCGAGTACCAGCTCTTTCTGTTTCCACCAAACAAATCATCAGCTCCAGCTCTGAAAAAGGAAGAAAGAAAACAGAAGCATTGAGTCTCTGATGAGCTGAAGCGAGAACCTCAGCAGCACAAACTGAGTTTCAGTCTTAAATGGCTTAATCCACTTAGAGGTATTTTTTTCATCCTGGTTCCAAATGTTGGCTTTTGTTTGTGCCATAAGTTCATGTTCATGGATTTTACTCAAAGGGGAATGTCCAAAGCTTGTTTATGAGCATTACTGGAAAACAATGGAGTTTAAAACAGGACACGGTGGAGGGACTATGTCTCTCACCTGGCCAGGGAACGCCTTGGGATTCTCCCGGAAGAGCTGGCTGGCCCAAGCGGCTGGGGAGAGGGAAGTCTGGGTCTCTCGACTTAGGCTACTGCCCCCGCGACCCGA